GTTACTTTGTACAAGCATATAAAATTGTTGTGGGAGCTGTTAATTTGTATTGAAGTGCATATGAAAAGATTCGAAGGTAGATCACATTAAAAGGCTTCGCCTGAGTTCAGTTATTCTACAGACACTTAGCATAACTACGAATTTAAGGTTGACCGAATCGATGAGAGATCCTCACTCTTTTTTGATGAAAACGGGCAATTTTTTGGTATATAGTATATATATGTATATACTCTCAACTAAAAATGAAAAAATTATGTTAATATAGAATGATTTGGTTAGTTTTTTAAAGATGAGGTCTTATATTGAGTTCTCTCTTAGAGTTGTTGAATGTTCTTCCAACATTGAAACGCCGTCTGGGTGCATCAGCAGAAATTTGTTCGAGGGGGCTGACTTCCTTCAAATCCATTCATTTAATTGGCTCTACCTAAAAGAAAAACAAGTTGAACAAGTTGACTCCTGACCATTCTACCAGATTTTGGGAGGACAACAAATATGTTAAACACCTAAACATGTTTTATTGTGATGATTTGTAGCTCGGTGCAAAGGGTGAAGCTGCTCACCGACAACAAAATGGTCTGATGTTATAAAATCATATCTTAACAATGTTAGAAGACTCTGTAGATAGTAGGTTCTGGAAGGTATTTGTAAATTGGTCTTACCAGAAACCGGAAGAGGATCCCCTTGGATTTATAACTGTTGATTTGAGTGTAGAAGCCCTCGACATATTGTTCTGTAAGTTTGATGAATTCGGGCTGGGTTCTTGAAGCCCAGCTTCTCTTCCTGCGTTTATCATTACTACTCGTGGCCAAGTAAGTACTAACACCAGGAAACTTTCTTTGATATGAATCCTGGCCATTGTGCAATAAATATAATTGCTTACAACTTGACCTTACTTTTATGGATAGCATTCGGACGATTGGATTCGGCCGCAGCAGATCCAGCTGATGAAGAGAAATGCATGCGTCGCTTTGATGAGTTGTGACGTCAGATGTCTGAAAATGGCATCCAGTCATTCGATGTGGCTGAATTGTGAAATTAAAGTCATAATGTGTGCCTGTATACCCACATACACGTGATAGGACAATCATGGCCTTTGATGTTTGCGAAGGAAACCAGCTTGCTGGTATTTGTTGGTATTTGATGCGATATATGCAAGGAAACTCTGAAGCTGGATGCAGGCCGAGACGGTATGAATAAAGTACTCATCATTCTCAACCGCGCAGCACATCACATCGAGTGTGAATGATTGAAAGTGTTCCGTTTCGACAGAAAAATATTAAGATTTATTTGCTCTTTCTCTTGCTCTGACACCTTCCACAGCCTCCACCCGGCCGTCTCAGGCATGGACACCAATGGAAACTGTAGCCATCCGATCCGTTTAACTCTGCGCATACACACACTGTTGGAGAGCAAGACGAACGAAGTAGTCTGGAATACCGTCTCTGCACAAATATTGACTTTGCCGGCCAATTTTGTAGCAACTTCTATCGGTCGTTCAGCCATTCCAAGTATTCTGCTTTGGCCTGTCTGTTGTCCTGGTGAAGCAAACCGCCAACACCCTCCTCACTGTCTTGTCCCCCAGTTTCAACGACCCCTGACTTGTCTCCAGTCTGCTCCGCCTCTCGACCTGCTACAACACAGTTTCTCCCCGTCGCCAAGACCCTTTCTCTCTCAGCTCAACCCACCCCAATTCACCTGCTTCGACTTCGCCTCTTCACCTGGCAGCTTTTCATTGCCCGTCTCCTTTTTCTCCTTCTCGGTCGACGACCACTCGAAGGTCTAATTGTTATTACCTCCCTTTTATGCCCCTTGAGTCGCGTGTCAACAGTCGGTACTCATGGGCCTATCCCTAGGTTCATACATGCTGACAAACATACACCCGGCGCAAACAAACACACACAAGTAAACCTAACATATGTATGGAGTGAAGAACAATGCTACGATAACCGGGTGACTAAATGACTATCGTGTTTCTTTTTTCTATTATTTCCACTCACCTTGTTGTCCTGCCAGCCACAACTTTCAAGACTCTTAATCCACACCACTCGAGGATTGATGACAAACAGACGGTGTTCCCTACAGGCATGTTTGCACGTCTCTGGGTCGGACCCACCTGTACTCGACACATAATAATAACGACAGCACGATTCTATGGGAATCACCTATGGGACGATGTAAAGAGCATACATTTTAAAGTGTGTATGATGTGTACATGAGTGTGCGTTTATCGGTGAGAGAAAGTTAGAAAGAGAGGGGGAATAAAAACAATTAACCCACAGGGACTTTAAAGTGGTCACTTGTTGCCTTGATTCTCGAGCAAAGAAAATTAGTTGCCTGAACAATTGGTTCCCATTAAAACACTCCTCTGTACGGGGATACCTTACCACTCAGACTTAAGATGGATCTGGGAATTTGGATACACGTGAGCCTGCTACTGTCTTCTCTCAGTCACGCAGCAAGAGCCCATCGTGAAGAAAACCATTTTGCTCTGAATTGTGCCTTTATGGGCGTACAAAAAGTGCACACACACACACACACACACACACACAAACGCACAAGTCCACGCACTTAAAGATAGCCCGCCGTCGCCCACTTTTTGCCCGGCACACACGTGTAGAGCCATACCGACCAGCCGTAATAAGCACTCCTGGCAGAAAAGTTCTCGTCATGCCGACTGTACCGTTAACCGAGGAAAAACGATGTGTCCTGAATGTCCTTACTTGGGACTCGGTAACTGGGGCATATAGTTCGACCAGCCACCGTGCCCATGCCCTTGAGTCTCTGACCTCTCCTCCATCCCCTACTTCTTCAGTCCGCATCTGCCAGGTCGGTGGAATAGCCAATGATTAGATCTTGAGGGATGCTGACGCCTGACTGAACGAAATGAGTAGATCGGGTTGCATGAGACCAAGACCTGGGATGTATGGATAGATGGAGGAATGGAGGAATGGATGGATAATATCATGCATGACCTAGAATATGGATAGAAAGAATTTAGCCTCGTCCATGCCATGTTGAACAGGTCAGAGAAAGAAACGGGGCTAAAATTAATCTACTTCCTCCCTTTGTTTTAATAACCTGACCGCGTCTTGGCTCCTGGATCTAAGGGGCACAGGCAGCACCTGTACGAGATACCCTTTATGGATTGGCGAGATGCAAAGTTGTACTTTTTCTGGTGAGTTTCACATCTTGTTTCCCTATCTTAGGTCATCATCTTACTTGATCGCGTTAAGGCCCGCGCCTTCATGGTTTTCTAAAAGTAAGCAGTTCACGCGACCCTTTGTTGACTTTTTTGACGTTTCGATC